CACCCAGCGGGGAAGTACTGGATTCTGAGCGTCGCATTGATTATTGTCACCAAGTATGGCAGGGCTTTCGGCGAGAGCAGCTTCAACCCTTGTTTGAAAAGGTGACGGGATAATGAGATCGAGATGCAGTGAAAAATAAAGAGATGGACATGCGAATCGCACAAAAACTGTCAGAACATGAATCGGTGAGAATATGTGGATAATATCACAGTGTGATGTATTGTCTCGTCTTATACCACTGAATTGTGAGAGTATACATGGTGGCCCAAAAGTCATGTATCAAACGAAGGGGGGGGGGGGGGGTAATACGGGGTCATTTCCAATCAGTAAAATCATATAAATGTCCTTCCGGTTGTGCAAGGTTATTCAGTTGTCGCCATTTTAAAGAATTTTGTAGAGAATCGCTACTTTTGAGACTGTCTTATTCTTTATGTTTAGTCATTTATCGATAAGCTTTAAAGGATATGCTCCCAGATGATGTATCGTTGAAGAAAAGCTATTAATGAAAAATTAGTCCAGTTAATGTAGGTATCATTCCGTTTCGTGTGATCCATGACTACTTGGACATCCTGTATACACTGGATAAAGAAACCACTTCCATAAATAGGTTTTTATGATAATGTATAAGCTCTAGCTGTTTACAAACGAAACTTTCCACTGCAATAATTTTATCCTGTAATACAAATCCAAACATAGTCGTCCGTCTCTCACGCATGTTCAAAACGTGACACAGTAAGTACCAAAGCAGTCTTAACATGTTAAATTTGTTGTCAACTTTCATAACGTTTATCAGTATTTCACGCACAAACAAAATAAAGGCTTAAGCACCTGTGAGGTATCGTGTAATCCGCCAGTAAAACAAAACAACTCCAAGACCTCAGAGATGGAACGGCTTTAATCATAGACAAATAACAAATTATTACTTTGTCCAAAGTTCAGGATCACGTATACGAACACCGTTTTTTATATTTGGGTTTTGGACTTTGAATGGTGAAGATTCACATCAGAAAAAGTTTGCAGTGACACCTGGCTATGAAAACTTCTCATTTTATTCTCATTCGAGAAGTGTGAACTTATCGAATTAGCATCCATTAATATATGCTGGAGAATTCATGGAACCTGATACCTTTATCTATTATAAATTATATTGTGAATCCCTAAAAGTCGTTGACCCCTCGAAATCTTTGAATGTCCACTTTAATTAATTTTTAATTTTAATTTTTAATTAATCCACTTTAACAAAGACCGAAGGTCCCACGGACCGCTCTGATGGACAATGACGAATAGAAAGACCGCATGTTGCCAGAGCATCGCTAGCCTTCATGGATCAACATCGCATCAACCGTTTACCTTGGCCACCACGATCGCCTGACCTATCTCCAATTGAACATGTCTGGGACATGATAGGTCGCAGGCTCTTGAATTTGCAACACCCTCCACAGACTTTAGCAGCTCTTGCAGTAGCCTGGAATGAGATACCCCAACAGGATATCGACCACCTTATCAGCACGATGCCCAGGCGTGTCAATGAGTGTATAAGAAATCGTGGATCCTGAACACATTATTGAACCAGCTTCTGCAGTCAGTTGACGAATCAAGCATTTTACTAGTAAGGGACACTGAACATATGTATATGCCAAAAATTATTAAAATCGGATAAACATACGGTGTTTACCTGTTTTGTCACTCAGTATATATTTGTTTGAAACGTGCATTCAACCAAGGTAAACAAATTTTTGATTCTACGTCCCAAAAGTCATGAAGGAAACGAAAAGCGGTGAGAGGGATGAGAGATGAGATCATTTGCAATCATAAAAACGATATATTTATGTCCTTATCCGATTGTGTACTGTGTTTGAGCTATCCTCATTTTTAAGAATTTGTGGAAAATAGCTATTTTTGAGACTGTAAAGTTGTCTTTTGTTATTTTTCAATCAGATTTAAAGGATATGTTCTCAAATGATGTATCGCTGGGAAAAAGCGGTTAGTGAAAATCGAAATTTCCTTATTTTGGGTACCTGCAGCATTTTGTGCAGAAGCTATTTAGGATATTTGATTACCTAATAGGTATTTTGATGACCCTAGTATCGAGAAGTCTTTCATCACTATGGACGCTTTATGCGCCTATTTATTTTTGTACAGACGTCGTTGAATATGCTATAATATTTTAACAACAGACAAAATTGCTGATTACCCGATTGCTGTATCTACATTAACTGGTCTAAGTCTTCACTTCATACATTTTTTCCAGCGACACATCATTTGGAAACAAATCCTGTAAATCTGATTGAAAAATAATAAAAGACAACTTTAGAAAAAGTACTACAGTCTGAAAAGTAGCGATTTTCGACAAATTCTTTAAAATGGCGATAACTCAAAAACCGTGCACAATCGGATAAGGACATATACCTATAATAATAATATTAAAAATAATAATTGTCTTTATTGAATTAACCAAAAGGTGAAGTTCACATTGCGTGCTCTTCCACTCAATCTTATGAAGATACAAAAAAATGTACAAATAAAATAACGAAAATAGAAGGTATAAGTGGAATGTTTAACGCAATCAATTAAAGAATAAAAATTGAATATATGTGATGACATTTCATTCTTGCTGCTTTTTTATAATACAAGATTTAATTGTCTTCTTAAATGGAAGTTTCCTCAGAACCAGAAACTCCCTCAGTGATGTTATATTCCTTAGCAATTTGGTACCTACCTGAGACTCTTTCATATATAGTGGTTCTATGGGTAGGAGTGATGAGGACTTTGGATCTAATATTAATATTGTGAACTTCTTATAAAGGTAGGTAGGTATTTTTTGTGTAATAATTTCATTATATAAGGTAATCGTAATATTTTGAATCTTTTTATCATATTGATCCATTTCTGATTGACAATGACCCCCCTATCACCCCCTTTCGTTTGCTCCATATTATATACAGACGATTATGTCGTTTTTTAATATACCAGACGCGTCATCCCCATGCACCACAACAAAGTCTTTCGAGAACGCGAAAACCCTCCTAGAGCTAATCCCCCGTCTTTGTCTGGCCGAATCAAACCACATATGTTTAAAATTGTTTATTGTGTTTACTGTACGACTTTTTGGTCGCAACGGTGACCTTCTTCAAGTACAATCGAGACTTTTTTGACAATACGTTTTATTTTTCTCCCTTTGTTTTAAGCTTTTCTACATTTAACAGGTTTCGTGTTTCACCAATCTAGTATTGATGGCAGCCACATTATATTTTAAAAAATGTTCCAGGATGCCGCTACATTGAGATTTTCAAATGCGACGTTTATGTTAAAATATAGTATTTATGCATTAATTCCATTGTCCAAAACTTCGGCTTGCCAACTTCGCCTGTTCAAAGAATAGGCAGAAGGGGACCTTTTTGAGAGGCACAAACAAATTACTAACTTCACTGAGTTATATTGAAAATTATACAGTCTATACCTACCTTAATTCACAATGACATCGAGTTACATCAGCTATTGGACCAATTTGTTAGTACTGCATCTACTTGTAAAAAAGAATCTTACGCTGTACATCGATATTGGCTCTCCAGTAAGGAGTACCTTGATAACAATTAGGTGGAACTGATAAAAGTTAACCTCCCGGCAGGGGAGCAACTGAAGCCTGAATATCTTAAGCTCAACCCTCTACACGAGGTTCCCACATTGATTGACGAGAATTTCATCGTTTATGATAGTCACGCTATAAAATGTTACTTACGTACCGAGTAGACTATTTCCTAAGTCTTAGCCAGGAAAAATAAATTCTCAAAGACGATCCCTAATAATTTAAATGGTTCTCTACACTATAACCAATTAAAATTATGTTATTTGGCACGAAATGATAGAATTTATAGAATGTTTTAACATCTAATGTAGAACAATACTCCCAAAGTTTTACTAAATATCTGAACACCCCGAATAGTCGGCAACCACATATTTTTTAGAAAAAAGGTTATAACAAAGTTTCAAGATATCAAAAGGCAACTTGTTGATGTTCTCATATGTGACCTAGATAATGAGACCTTGATAATGTCCTTAGATGTAATATGGAAGTCAAGTTTGAATATTCAAATAGCAAATTTTTCACAGCAGCAAAATTTTCGACATTTTTAAATTTTGAATATTTTGAAGATTTTCAAAATTTTGAATATTCTGAAATTCTGAAAATTTTGTGATTTTGAAAATTATTGTGTTTTTGAAAGTGTCGGAAATCATACAAATTTCTGAAATTTTCTATGTTCTGAAAACCTGTGGTGACGTTATTATGTCTTTAAAATCCATGGCTCTCAATCCTTAAGTAATGTCTATAAATGTGACTATAATGTTCTGTGGAGTCCGTTGGGAAAAGCAAGTACCTACCTGCCTGCCCATTTTTAATATCGGATTATCTTGATTTTTATTTCAGATTGACAAATATTCCAAGGACGATTCTCTTTATCCAAAAGATTTGCAAAAACGTGCAACCGTGAATCAAAGACAGTTTTTTGATTGTGGAGTTTTATTCAATCAAGGACTTCTAGTCGTTCGTGATACCTCGAGAGCAGAAGTCAAATCTGTCAGTAAAGAAATTGCCTCCTTGGGTGCTAGGCAACTTGCGAAACGTATTAACTGAAACATACTTGGATGCAAATACGTGCCCAGTTCAAAATAGAGGGGGCAGATTAAAAAAATTTTTTGGTGGAAATTCCACAAATCATATCTACTCGTACTTCATCACGGCTTAGATGAAAATGGAACCACTCCCTTACTATAAGGAAGGCAACTAAGAAGGGTTGCAGGCATTGGACCAGTATATCAAACATAAAATCGCTTCAAACTAAATCACACAAAAAATAAATTATTTTGTACAATATTACGGACATACGGGACATATTACTATGAAACTACGTGTATACGAAGATAGGTTTAAATTTGCTCGATAGTAATATGGAACAATTTGCCCTAAAAAAGATTCCTCTCAGAATAATTAAACGCCACAATTATGACAATGATTTATTTAGAAAAAGTAACTATGTTACAGACACTATATTTAACAATACCTAAACTAAGAATCAAAAAATTATAATTACAGGATAAATTTCATCACAAATACATATAGTATGTATTGTACCCGCATCAGTATGACACTGCAACAATATTATTTCTGAAGGATAAATGTATGGCAAACAAAACTGTATTCTTAAAAAAATAATTTGACAATATACCAATAAATAATTGTAAATATTGTATTTCCATTTTTATAACTCTGCGGGCGTTTCTTACAAACTATAATGGTATATTATTATGTAATGATTATATTTGTAAACGTAAAGTATGTGCCCTTTGGTATTATGACTTTAAACTGTTTCATAGTCACTCCTGATGAACTTGGTGAGAGAGCAGGACAGTAGAATTCCCAGCAACTGAAAAACAATGTTACTTGAAAACTTTTGTTGAAGCAATTTATTATCTGCATGGTTGGTCAATGAATGGTGTATGAAAAACAAATGCATTTGGTGGAGTAGGATTTCTTGAATGACGAAATATATAATTTACTAACGAAGATGATGGACGGAGACTTATGTGCTTCTATTGGTAGCTATTGCTCTCGATGACTCTCCAGAAGGACTATGTCACACCCTCTATAAAACATATCAGTAGTTTGCGAGATTATGATTGAGATATTTTCCACATGCTTATTACGCAAAAATGCCGTCCAACAGTTTTGATTACAAAATTTGCACTAGGTACTATCCTGTTCAGCTATGCCACCCTCCGTAACAATGTCTCGAGGGAGGGTTACGGTACAAGGGGGTTAGACAAAAAAATCATGAGGGTGATATGTTTTAGAAATCATAAACGGTCATCATAGCCAATTATCAATCAGATAATTTTCACGAGCTTTTTCCAAAATTTCGAATTCCGGGGCCATATAAAATAGTTTGCCCTGGTAACAGACAACTCATTTTTTCGTGCTTCACTGAGAGAATTTAAGTAGTTTTTCAACTTGTAAAGTGAAAATTATGCAACTATTATGGATCTTCTGAGACCTTTACATTTAGGCTTCTGCCTGCAAGGCGACTCCGGTGTAAAAAAACCTTCTGAGACCTCTTGAATGGATTTAAAGTATCAAGCAAAAACAGTGTTTACCTCTTGAAGTGCTTGAAATCAGCATAAGCGTGCTTTTCGAAAAAGTATGTTTTACTCTTGTGATAGGAAAAGTGGAATCCACTTATAATAAACTTGCTTATAATGCAAACACGTATATAATGGACACAATTTAAGGTCCTATAAATAATTACATGTAAAATCCTCGGATATTATAGACTCGCTTAAAATAGTCCCTCGTTTATAGGAAATTATTTTAATCCATTATATGCGAGCTATTTTGGTAGTTCCCCGAAGCAGATTTAGCTTATGCAATCGTTTACGGCGGTTTGGCTTCGCAGTTTGCATTCGAGCTTGGCCGCCAGTGTTATACTGTATTTATTAGAGTCATAAACATGTCGAAAAGTGCTAAACGTGCATTCACTTTACATGAAAAGTTCACAATAATTAATGAGCTTGAGCAGGGTTCATCTCAAGCAAATATATGTGCTCGTATGGCTATAAAAAAATCCACTGTGTCAAATATTTTGAAAAACCATGACAAAATCAAAAATGACTGGAAATCAAATAGTGAAAAGAAAAAAAAGCGGCTATCGCTGCATCCCAAGTCGATGATATGCTGTTTAAATGGTTTCAACAAAAGCGTGCTAATAATTTTCCAATAGGTGGACCTATGCTATAAATAAAGGTTGATGAATTTGGGAAACTAATTGGAGATTACTTCAAATGTAGTTTTTGGAAAAATATGTGGTGAGTCAGCTTCAGTTGACAAGAACGTTACCAATGACTGGATTTCTCAAGTTTGGCCCGTAATATCCAGTGATTATTCAGATGATAACATATTCAATGCAGATGAAACCGGGATATTTTATAGATTGCTACCAGATAAAACTCATAAATTAAAAGGTGAAACTTGCAATGGAGGGAAACTATCAATTTTTTGTGCTAATGCTTCTGGTACTGAAAAACAGAAACTATTGATAATAGGTAAGTGAATGAATAGAAATTCATGTTCTAATTTTTCTGATATTTAATGGCAGTGCTGCAAAGAATGTATGACCTTTTTTTATTTCAGGGAAATTTAAGAATCCCAGGTGTTTCAAAAATGTTAAAACAATTTCCGTCGATTATGTTGGAAATAATAAAGCCTGGATGACTTCATCAATTTGTATCAATTTCTTGGAATTTTTCACCGCAAATACAAATACTAAGTACTTTTCCTTCAAAAGTTACTTCAAGTATTAGTATCAAATACGAGGGGGAGGAGGCTGTGTTGCTAATATTTGCCGCGTCAAAGGAATAGAAGCAGCGATTAGCAGGTGGTAGACAAGGACAGATCGACCGAGGCGGTGCCACCCGCTAGCTTTTCCCAGGGTGTCTTATAAATGTCCGCATGTTTCCACACCTAAGCTATGCAGTCGGTTATCTTCCAAAACAAAGAAATTAATGATGATGGATCCCTCGAGCACTAAGAACTTCGGACGTAAACTCACTCTACTCTCGGAAAGTCCGGGTGGAGGGTGGGCTCGAAGGAACAACATCGAAGATAAAATTTGTGTTTCGAACATCTGCGGGATTAACAGCAACATTGATGGTGTTCACCACTACCTGCAGTCCAATCGACCCGCCGTGCTTTTCTCAGAGTCTGCGCCGATTAACCATCTTAACTTCCCAAACTACGAGGTGCACTCCAATCTGAGAAAGAACGGGGAGGGGGTTGTGGCTTTTGTCCGCAGCAGTCTTTCCTGCTACAGAGATGTTTCTTTGGAATCAGACCGGAAGGACTTTCTGTGGCTTCGCCTCAACTCCAAAATATCACCCAAATTTATTTGCTGCCTTATCGCTCTCCCTCGGACCATAACTGGGATGACCTAATCGAATACCTCGCCGTCCAGATCGACTTCCTGAACATCAATCACCCTGCTTCAGAGGTAGTTCTTCTCGGTGATTTCAATGCCCATAATGAGCTTTGGTTGGGCTCAAACAAGACCGATCCAACAGGTCGTGCAGTTGAAGCGTTCGCTCCTACTCAAGGGCTGATTCAGCTGGTGACGAGCCCTATTTTTTTCCCCCGCGTCTCGTCATACGCCAGTAGCCTGCTGGATCTCTTTCTGACCACGCATCCTGTCCCTTATAGCACTGCTGTCCTGTCCACCCTGGGTAACTCAGACCACGGTGTTGTGGAGGTTAGGTTTTGGTCAGAACCCGCTGTGGCAGCAGAAACTCGCCGCAAAACTTGGCAGGGAGGGGCTCAGAGGCTTCTTCTCTAGCTTTCCTTCGAGAGATGTCTGTTTCACTGACGCGGATGCGTCGGCTGTCTGTTCTTCGATAACCGAAATTATCCACGTCGGAATGGAGGAATACATCCCACACACAGTGAAAGTGCCTAAACCAGGGTCCAATGGCTGGTTTGGCAAATCGTGTGACACTGCTCGCCAGCAGAAGATCAAGGCACACAGAACCTTCTTACAAAACCCCACTGTAGAGAACAGACAAGCCGACGTCGAGTCCAGCACGATATAAAAGTTGGGCACAGGGTAATGTCGCAGCGCAATGGTAGTCGGTCTTTCTGGACGCTGGCTAAGCAGACTGAAAAGAACTTCTCACACAGTAGCCTTCCACCACTTACGTGTCAGGATGGAACTATTGTATTCGACTCAAAGGCCAACGCGGAAGTGCTAGCCAAGATCTTTGCTGCCAACTCCACCATGGACGTCCCCCCAACGCCCAAGTGGCGTCAATTCAAAGGGTTCCCTACACTATGCGGGAGGAACATTCAGGCATAAGACCATAAGACGAGTGCTCTTGTCGCTCGACATCAACAAAGCTTATGGCCCGGACTTGATACCTGGCATTGCACTGAAGATGTGCGCAGTGGAGCTTGCTCCAGATGTCTTATGAATCTACTACCTCGAACGTCACAGCTTGATTAGCGACAGGCAGTATGGTTTCCGGCACCAACGATCCACAGGGGGACCTCCTAGCTTACGTCACGCAATTGTGGAGTAAACTCATCCAGTCTTATGGTGAGGCTCATGTCGTTGCTCTTGACATCACGAAAGCGTTCGATCAGCTGTGGCACGCTGCCCTCTTAAGCAAACTTCCATACTATGGCCTCCCAGAAAAGCTTTGCAAATGGGTGGCTGACTTGATCTCTAATCGCTAGATATCCGTGGTAATTGACGGGTTCTCCTCTTCATCCCACAACGTCAACGCGGGTGTTCTCCAGGGATCGGTCTTGGCTCCGACACTGTTTCTCTTACATATCAACGACCTCCTTCCCTGCACGATCAACCCAATCCACAGCTTCGCTGATGACAGCACTCTACATGCAGGAATTCAGAGTGACAAGCCGATCTCTGCCGCTGAGCTGGAAGAAAGAAGACTAGCGACGACTTCCTTTCTGACGCGACACCTGGAGGTTATCACTGCTTGGGGACGCAACAATCTTGTACAGTTCAATGCTTCCAAAACACAGTACGAGGGATGTCTTTTAAGTTTTGCATATGGAAATAAAACAACACGGTAGGTAGTTTTAAATGACTTTATTGTTTTTCGAAGTATTCTCGACGAAGATTAATACACATCTGCATGCGCTCGAACCAATTTTCGAAGCACTTAAATCAAATCCAAGCGAATAACCAAAATTTCTGTGTTATGTGCCGCGGTTATAATATGGTTCAAGATGACACACGGGTTGATGACGTCAGTTACACGAATCGCTTGAACGCGTTGGTTTTAACCGCGGTTTTGTTGCAAGTTGTTTATTTTAGAAAAGCGCGTATAAAGGGTGTCCCAAAATTAACGCAAGATTTGAATTTGCCGCCATTTGTGCAGTGAAGTGTTGGCAACCCTGAAAAAAAGCAATTTGACAGCTAACAGTATAGGGTTATGAAAAATGGAGCGTTACACGATAGAACAACGTGTCTTCATTATTAAAGAATATTTCAAAAATAGTGAAAGCTTGGCGGCTGCAGTTCGAAAATTTCATACAAAATATGGCCGGAATAGTGAAGAGATTAATTGAAAAATTCATGGAGACTGGATCCGTTGGAGACGCCAAACACACTGGTCGTCCAAAAACAAGCCGTTCAAATGTGAATATCGAAGCAGTGCGTGAGAGTGTTGCGGACAATCCAGGAACCTCAATTCGACGTCGTGGACAAGAATTGCAAATGTCAAGAACCTCTCTACAGCGTATACTCACCAAAGATCTGTGTCTTCATGCTTACAAACTTCAATTAACACAACAATTGAAGCTCAATGACCATGCAGAGAGAAGAGAGTTTGTTGAATGGATTATTGAACATCAACA